GATATAAAGTGAATCCAGTTTCCTGCTCCTGAACAAAACACATTTCTAGCATACAAAAAACACCCAGGCTCAAGTGCTGAGATGTGTTCCTAACACAGCATTTTCATTAAAAGTTGCTACACTAACACTCTTAAAATGATGCCCCCATCATTACTCCACTTAGCAGTCACAGCGCTTGCAACTCATAACGAATTAATTTGCATTAATGTGGGTTTCATGGGTCCCTCCCTGGGTATACCATTGTGATTCAGGCTTAATAAAACTGACACGACAATAACATAGTGCTTTTTATTTCACTTTCTAAAACAAACCAACCCACCCCAAGACCCACACAAATCCTCTCAATTTTTTAAGCATTTTACTAATATATTTAGTACATCATAATTGGCCCAGCACGCAGGAACCTAGTTATCTTCTCAGTAAATATTTATAGCATCACTCTTTCCCATTCATTCTGCATTTTCTTAGAGAAGCTCACTGTAGCCTACATCTGCAATTCATTGACTTTACAATTTACCACATGTTGGGATGGGAGAGGTCTTAGCTCCATTTGAATCACTACACAAATATGCAAGTGATTTATCGGTTTCAAACTGAAGACTGCAAGAGAAGGACTCCACTTTTCCTGAACATTACTTCTTCTGGCAGACCATGAACAATTACAGTTCGTACTAATTAAGCTCTGTAAATGTGCTGTGCCCTGCTAATGCCTACCAGGCCTCAAATTTATTTTCATGATGCCAAACTTTAGTGAGCAATTTTAACTCCTTCAGAGCTGATCCCACTAATAGCCATTCCTTCCCTTGCAGACCAAACCGTTTGGGGCTACTTCACGACAGGGAGAGAGAGGAAAAAAAAAGAATGAAATATAACGGGCTGAATTACCAGCCGGAAATCAGATGTGCCTAAGGAAGGAAAAGCTATCCTGGGAAAACCGAAGAACACCAGGACTGATAACCCGTTCAAAGATCCCACAGCCCCATCTTTGTAATGAGCTGTTAAGGGATTCATATCTGTCCCTGAGGGCTAGTAAGTTTCTGCATTCCATTGATTAGAAAATAAAACCTTTCAGCCTCGGTCTTTAAGTTTGGGTTGGACGGAGGGAAGGATTCGGCCAGAAATGATGGAGCCATCAGCCCCCCTTCAAGGGTTTCCCACACACCTCAGGACCCCACCCCCTTTTACCATGTGGTCAGCTTATAACATACACACAAAACAGCCCACTTTTAAAAAGTAAATTAAAATCGGGAAAATAATTGGCCTTCAAGACCTCATGAGTCCTCAACCACCAATGCCCCACCCCCAAATCGTCACACAATAACTGATAGGAAACTTATCTGTTGCCAGTTCCTCACTTTGGGTGAGGGTTGGGTAGGAACCAGTCTCTCTGCTGAGCAAAGCAATCTAGTT